TTTTTAATGAATTTTCCATGCTGTACAGTGCTTATATTGTATCGTTACCATTTTATTTGAATTGTCAAAAATAAAGTACCTACCGTTAGTATTACTCACAAATGCTCTGGATAATGGTATTGTCTTGATGAAAATTTAGTTGTTACTGTCAAGCTTTTGACCTATTTTAAGGTCATCATCAGGGTAAAACAATCTTAATATGTCTACAAAGTGACATAATTAAGTTTTTCACAGATGATTTCAATTTTCTTTGAAGACCGACTCATTATCAGTTCCAACATTGTCAAGCACTATACTATGAGATTGATTACTCGTGAATAGAAAAATGATCAATAAATCTAACACTAAAAATTATTATTGTTATTAATCCAACAATCTTTCTTTTTTGGCTATTGTGTTTATGTTTTAACCTCAAATTGCACTCTCTTTTTCTATAACTGATTTTTTCGAAAATTTTCTTTTTTGTCTAGTGGGCCTGCATAAGAAATTTCATCTTTATTGTTCTATGTTCATCATTTCTATTAAGGTTTTGTTTGTCGTATTCTGTCAACAATAGGTATATTAAATCTAAGAAATTTTATTGATTATATTGCAATAGAAAATATAACTCACATCAACCTTAACCAAACCTTAGCACTTTTTTTTAAACTAATACAATATTGCTATTTATTTTTGTGATGGTTTAATTAATTAAATATATGAGCTCTATTCATCCAATTTGCACTGACTGTATCACAATAAAAAATACAATTAATATTCATTTGATTGTAACCCAGAATCCCAGGACTAAGGGAAATAAACATTCGCGACTTTTTTCAATCTGTAGTCACTTTTATTTATACTAATAAAATAGCCTGGGGGACCAACAATGGTTGACAACTCCCCTCAAGACATGATATACAGCGTATATATGTCAGAATGTAAATAACCTCAAATTACGAGATCTATGTTTTATTAATACAGGTAGTAACAAAAAAATAAATAAAAAATAATCACAAAAATATTATTTTTTATTTTTGTGATTATTTGATTAATTGGTTGAGAGATGGACTCTATTCATCCAATTTTCATAGACGATATCTCAATTAAAAAAAGTACAAAGAATATTGACGTGATTGTCACCCAAACCTCCATGACTCGAGGGGATTTAAATATTTGCAACTTTTCCCTTTCTTTTTTTTAAATCCGTAAGCACTTTTATTTAAACAAATACAATTTTAATGATTATAAAAGTGTTCCAGTAACAATAATAAGTGTACAATAGTGAGTTTTCACCTATATTACTACTGAGGTAGGATATTAAATCAATTATCAACAGGAAATAATGAATATTTTTGTCGAATTATCAGCGGTTGATTGGCTGAAAAGGGGACTTAGAAAGACAATAGAATCATGTTAAACCGGTTCGTTGATTTAATTAACTACATAAAACGAATTTAATCGCTCTCTGACACTTTTTCTTTAGCAGTTCGTCCAGTCTGTACCAAATCATAGCCCTGAGTAGCTGATGCGTGCAAATTCCGCCCCAAGCTCTGTGTCGGCCAAACCGAATTCAGCTCGCAGCTCTGAATTTAACGTTGTTAGGTCGGCCGACGACGAGATCAAAGTGACAAGAGTGCGCTGGGATTACAGCAGGCCGGTAGCAGAGAATCAACTTAGCAGATACAGTTAGTTCTATATCCCACTCGTACCTTCTCTGCAATTGCACCCCATAGAAGGCAAACTGCAGGGTGATTCGATTAAACCCCGACAGCAGACACATTTCGTTGAGATGATTACCAATCTAATAAAGGAAAGAAAGAACACAACGTAAAATTGCGACATTAATAAATAATTTAGTTTTTTCTACGGTAAATCTATTTGGAACAATATACAACAGTCCAGAGTATGATTTGTCTTATAAGCCCTATTATAGTAACTTAAAAATATGGCAATAATTGAATTTATAAAATAACTATAATTATAAAGGATAAAAATAGTTTACAAACTAAACAAAAGGCACACACATGAAAAATATTCAAAATGTGGACACCCATCCTAATTATCAAACATGAGTCAAAACATGTTTTTAACATTAAGCATATCAGGACTTAACAAAAAATTAAAGTTATTACATTTTGCAATATAAAGTATCAAAAGGGTTAGATACAATATCGATTGGACAGTATCGAATTTTTTAATCGCGATAAAAATTAGAAGTATAAAACTAGACTGACGTGAACCCATCATTATATATGGTGAAATGCCAATATGCGTGAATAGGCAGACCAACCTGTGGGGTGAAAACTATTTGATGGCTTGCTAGAGGTTTTCGTAGAAACTCCTTGTGGGATTTGCAAAGAAAGAAATCTCAAAATCCCTAAGTTGGAGTATGTATGTTATTCAGACCTATGTTTTCTGGAGAAGGCACTGTAGACTCGATCATTTATAAGAAATAATTATGAATCTTGATTGAAGATGTACGAATTATATTTAGTTTTAACTTCAACACGACTACTACAAAAATGTCAGTTAAACTTACTAAATGTGTATGTTGACATATAATTACACTTAAACCTTCATCCTTGATCTTGAATAGGACGGTAGTTTATGAAAATCACCAACAGCTAAATCATTTACAACCTTCGTTCTTCCTCCTTCTCAGAATGTTCATAATTGATTTTCTGAAAATGTCAGCATCTTCAAATATCGAACTAGTCGGCCGTTCTTGAACATTTCTTACATAAAATATGAAGCAGTTGACTTTTCGCAACTTCTTCTTTGTCTTCACTTATGTGCAATAAGTTTCTTCTATCTTCTTTTCAGAAGCTCTTTAATATAATTTTTTTCAAGAGGCCCTCCTGCTTAAGAGGGCAACTGCATGTTCACTGACTGCAATTTGGAAGTTAAAAGCATGGCAAAGTAGTGATGACATCTGATTGAAAAACTTCAATAAACACAGGCAGTCACTACGGCTAGGTACAAATATTTGATTTAACGAATGAAGAAAGATAGTTAACATGCTGAAAAAGTGTGTCAAGTCAATAAAAAATCAATGATCATCTTTACAGATATTTAGTGAAGATAATTTGGTACAGGGCTGGCTACCTGGTAGTTTACATAGAAAACAAACACTTGAATGAGTACAAATACTTTGATTGAATCTAAAATTTTTAGCATTGTATATATTCATTTTTCCACACCCTACATGTATTTGTATAATTGAAACAATGTTTATAAATCCCAGGCCCTGAAGATGATCTCAAAAAAGATCGAAACGTTGGCACGATAAAGAAAATGTTTTTTTAAAACCTACGCCACACCAGACCGCATCTCACGATACCCAAATAATCGTTATCTATTTATAATATTACGTTTTGCCACAATTTCGGGAATGTAATTTTCATCCATTTCTGCTCAGGGTTGACCAATCTGTTAGTTTTTTTTATGTGTATATTTATTATCAATTAACAGATAATACATAGATAATTTCTGAGTCATTCTTTATGCATGGTAGAATGAGACGTTTTAAATTTTTCTCACTATGAATATATTATATTTTGTTCATACAAACTGGGATAGTATGGAATACCGAATTGGCCGATTCCGACTCATTTATCCCGAAAGGCATGCACGTCAACCCTTGCTGTGAAACCCCACTTCCTCCGGGGTTGACACTTTCCCCAGGCCAGATATAAAAATATGATTGCTTCCGCCGGGCTCTTTATGCCGTATGTGAATGATGGTAAATGTACCGTGATGAATATCAACTAGATTTTGTCATCAACTATTACGTCCCCCGGTCCCCACAAGACCCTCTTCGTTTTTGACGGCTTGCTTCCTGAAATGCAATATTTATTATGGGAGTGTAATACGATATCTTTGTAAACCCGGGTGAGAAAAATGTCACTCCTTTCCCGATCCTTTGTCGCCAGAGGTTCGAAACTTTTCAACGCCCACCCCACTCGTTTTATATACAGTGTCTTTTTGTTTACACACCATTGTTATGGCAATAGTGTGTCGCCAACGCTAAATTATAGATCATTTATTCGACTTAAACAGTTCAAATAACTTTCTCGCACTTTTGAAATAAAATACCATTTATAAGATAATATAAAAATCACACTAGCTTAAAATACACAAAGCACAGTAATTTCACGGGGGGGGGGCATAAAAAAGGCAGATAAACATTGGTTTGATGTGTTTTTACATAAATTTCGCGGTACAAACTCCAATAAATTGAAATATCTTTTAACATGCATGATACACAGTTTTCTTTCACTCTCTCTCTTTCTCTCCCCTTATCTATAAACTTAACAAAATAATCACTATTGAATGGCATTATGAACTTTATAAAAAATGTTAATTTATAATTTTTATGTATTAGGTAGTTTTTATTTTACTTATGCTCACTTTTAATTATGCACTACCACTCTTTCTGACTCTCTAAATCTGTCTTTTTCTCTCTTCCTCCCTTTCTCTCGCTCAATCTATCCTACTATTTATTTATATTTTTTATTTCATTTTTTTAAATTTAGAATCATTCTTTCACTCTTGGTGAATTTGATATTATCGTTCGATAGCTATTTATATTTCTTCAAATATCAGGAAATGATTAATGCTCAGTAGTTGTGTCATCAATTCGTTTCTTAACAAACCTATGGTATTTGTTTTGCTTATTGACGACCTTAAAAATGCTTGTTCTCAGGATGTGATAGTTCTCTTTCTCTCTTATTATTTTGGCTTCGTAAAGCCTAAAAAATAATTTATTCATAATGGAAAAATAAGAAAATAAAATAATTTATAGTTAATTAAGTCGTATTTACCTATACGTTCCTGAGTAAAAATAATAATATGGATATACTACATAAACACTTCACTTTTCAAGACAAAGAAATCGGCTCGTGCTAATTTGCCATGCTCGGCTTTGGTGTGAAGGCCTCCTTATAATTAATTAAAAATAAAAAAACTACATGAATAGCGCAATTTCATTTGAACTCCATTAAGTTGTTACATTACCGGAGGCAGATCGCTGTCACCCGAAGCCCCTGTAAAGTAGACGAGGGCCTCAAGGGGACGACCTGTACCTCTCCAAAAATACAAATTGCTAAGTAATGCTAGCTGAGCCAAGCATCACCAAGGCTCTATATTTTCCTTACTCATTAGTTTAAGGCACAAAGAGAAACCGAAAAGTTTCACAAGTGGCCGTCAGATTTGTGAATCCAGCTAATGGGAAGGGACGAGAGAAATATTTATAATACGTATCAAAACTATACATTTTTCATTTATGTTTAATTTTTTCTATTAATGGTAGTGTAAAACTAAAATTTTCTGTGAAATTTTCTTTCTTTAGTATAGCGAAATTAACGTTTAATAATGAATTAAGAAAGAAAACAGGATATGCTTTGGATGTCCGCGATCTGTTGGATAGAGTCCACACTACTTGAAAGTTGACCGTTCAAGGTAGCATTACATCATGCTACATTATCATAAAATACCTACCATATTTATTATTTTATTATAAGGTATAAACAAGGTGTAAATAGTTTTATTTAGGCAGATTTTAAAAAAATTCTTCAGTTTAAGTAACTTTTACGCTGTAACATCTCTTCATTGCCCATAGAACTAGCGGAACGAAAACCTAACGTAAACGATCTCTCCTAGTTCCAGTCATCCCCAAAACAGTCAATTCGTCAGATCCAAAATAATGGATTAAATATTTATTGTATCATTATTATTTAACGACCCACTGTATGATTTCCAGTTTGTGTGTGTGTTTTTCATCAGCTTTATGCCACAGCCATAACTCAATAAATATATGGCGAAAGACCAACAGACAGAGAACTCGCCCCTCATTATTTAGAAAACATATTCGTTACGGTACTAAATTATAAACAATCTACCAATATTCGAATTTGCTTTTTTCAGTTTTGAATTCTATTTAGGTTTACATATGTCCCTTTGTTAAAAATTTTAAAAAATTGTCTTTTTTAGATTTTTGGTCACGTCTTTCTGGAAAGGAGAAGGTCAGGTTAGGCAAACCAGAAAAATCTTAGTTTACCCACTCATTATTTACGTACACCCGCTCGTATATTGTGAAAAAAATTGACTAATTGTATATTTCTACTTACTAATCATCAATAAACTTATAAAATATTATGGGGAGGTAATATATAAATGAAATTTAAATTGTATTTATTGGGAAATCGTGAGATGCGGTCTGGTGTGATGTAGGTTTCAGAAAAACATTTTCTTTATCGTGCCAACGTTTCGATCTTTATTGAGATCATCTTCAGGGCCTGGGATTTACAAACATTGTTACATATTACAATTACATTTTGGATGTGGAAAAGTGAATGTATACAATGCAAAATATATTTTTTATATATTCAATCAAAGTATTTCTACTCACTCAAAGTGTTTGTCTTCAGTGTAATTGTGCCATTCTTGCGTGTCGTGCCGAGAGTTCCGTGCATTGTATAAATTCATTTTTTCACATCCAAAATGTAATTGTAATATGTAAACAATGTTTGTAAATCCCAGGCCCTGAAGATGATCTCAATAAAGATCGAAACGTTGGGACGATAAAGAAAATGTTTTTCTGAAACCTACATCACACCAGACCGCATCTCACGATTTCCAAATAAATATCGATTAACGGTCACTAATCACCACACATTTAAATTGTATGTACATGAAATTTATAACTTCTATATAAATATTTATAAAATATGTTTTTATAGCATATTAATTAAAAAAATCTGGAAGTGTAGTGAAAAAATTACTATTTACAAATTCAGTAATTATTTTCATATTTACTACTACTTATTATTATTATTGTGTGGTGATTAGTGACCGTTAGTCGATGATTATTCGGAGATCGTAAGATACAGACTGGTGTGACGACGTAGGTTTTAGAAAAACATTTTCTTTATCGTGCCAACGTTTCGATCTTTGTTGAAATCATCTTCAGGTCCTGGGATTTACAAACATTGTTTAAATTTAACAAATACATGTAGGATGTGGAAAAAAGTGAATTTATACAATGCAAAAAAATATTTTTTATATTCAATCAAAGTATTTCTACTCACTCAAATTACTTATATTATATTTTAAATTATTATATTTGATTGAATATAAAAATATTTTTTGCATTGTATAAATTCAATTTGTTTCCACATCCTACATGTATTTGTTAAAGTTAAACAATGTTTGTAAATCCCAAGCCCTGAAGATGATCTCAATAAAGATCGAAACATTGGCACGATAAAGAAAATGTTTTTCTAAAACCTATGTCACACCAGACCGCATCTCACGATCTCCGAATAATCATTATTATTATTAATAAGTAATATTTACCAAATTATTTCCAAAATACTTACTTATTTACGATTAATAAAAAATAAACAAAAATCGCTAAGGAGCAAAAGGCCAAAAGATAAAATTTCTTTGTTAAATTGAAAGAATGAAATCAAGGAAATTCCTTTGACGTGATGTTGATCATACCTTCAAATGAAAGTATTTCTGAGAAACAAAAACCATCAAGAGAAATAAATATATTTCGCAACGGTATGATAGAAAAGAAATTACCTATTATGAGAAAAATGTTGATTTAAAAAAACGTAAAAAATTTCCAAAAGGGTAAATCGAAAAAAGGTCTTCTCAGTAACGTTGATAAATCGATTCTAATGGCCCATGAAACGGATTCGATTCGAAAAATACCCCCAACACCGTAAATCAAGCTTCGAAAAGCGGTGGTTTTCTACACTGAGCGGCTTCATGGATTATCGTACAACAATATTTGGTCAGTTTTAAATGAAACAGATAAAATCCCCACTTGTGTTTACAACTAGATTTTGTAAATAATTCTTTGAATAGTCAATCTCTTCTTTGTTGGTTTTCTGTAAAGCTTCTTTCTAACGGTCCTGTGGTTTAATTTTTTAAGTTGTACCATTTTTAAGTCGCGAATTTGTTTGAGTGATGGTTTTAAGTGATAAAGATTCGGCTGGAATCAAATAATTGTTGGGAGATGGAAGAAGACAGGCGTATTTGGCTAGGGTGCTTAATATTTATTCTTATTATTAATATTATATTAATTTTTATTACTGTCTATGGATATTTTTATTTGGACGAGCTGTTTCGGAGATCGGTGTTTAAAGTCAACGTGAGAATTTCTTTTTTTCTCCTTTTTTCTTAAATTGTTTCCAAGTTGATAAAAATATTTGATTTTCAACTGTACATTACGCCATCATTACTGATTAGAATTTCATAGCTAAAGTGCTCATTCGTTGCATAATGTAATGCTCTTTCATTTTGATAATATTAAAGCTTTCGATAGGCACATTGTTTACGAATGTGGCGAAAAACTGAAAAAAGTGCGAAAATGTCGTGGTTTTCCGGTTACCAAATGTTTTCGCGCCGTGTGTGACCAATAAAAATCATGTTCCGCCTGTTAGATATAAATGGACATCTTAAAACGATTTCCAACTTTTCGCCAATTGCGTCCCAAAACGAACCCTTATTTTTACTGGCCCAAGACTTGATATGCCATTTGTTTAAATAAAATATGGCGGTGGTTCTTGGTTTGGCAATAAAATAATGTCGTTTTTCAATTATACGATTAATCAGCTCAATATTTATTTTTTTTGTCTATATTAGTTTCGTTCACTAATACGCTTGTTTAATCCCTAAATGAAAAGGATTTATTTCTCGTCAGTTTCTGTTTTCAACTTCTTTAGTTGTGTCTAATAATTTAATAGGTAATCATGTCTTTGGATGAAATGCATTTAAGGCACACTTTATAAATTCCAAACAGGGAACAACGCAACTTTTGAAACTGAAAATTTGCAGTGTGCAGTGTTTGCATGTTTATCTTCGTAAAGTCCAACGGTGATTTGTTCGATTTAGAGAAGGAGATTTTGATCTCGAATTTGATGCGCGCAGTGGACGTCTTTCTGAGGTTAACGACGACATATTGAGACATAGGCTAGAAGAGAATCCCTTTTTGACGACACGAGAACTAGGAGAGTTGTCAAATTTTTCCCATACAACTATTGGAAACCACATCCAGACTTGGACTAGTTCGAAAGTACGCTAAATGGATCCAACGCGAACTCAAGGAAAGGAATTTGTCGGATCGCACCTCAATTTGATCTTCTCTCCTCTGTCACTCTTACGACCCAATTCTTCATAGGTTCGTATCAGGATGGATCGTGAACAAATGCACGAAAGAAACGTACAAGTTCGGTCACTTGCATTTTGAAAATTTACCACAAGGGCAAACGGTTAATAGTGAAATATATTGTGAACAGCAAACCCGTTTAAACCCTCTAATAAAGGAAAAACTGCCACTTGCAAAAAGAAAAGGTGTAGTCATTCACGACAACAAAACCTCCCCCCTCGTTGTCTTAGGATTAAACAATTATTAAATAATTTTAATTTTATCAAACCCGTCATACTCACTGGATATTTCACCTTGACCTTGTGACTACTATTTACCTTTTTAAATTGCCAAAATTTTGGAAGTTTTGAAAGTGTTCAAACAGCTGCTCAAGGTTCATGTACTTAAAAGTTGGGGATATTTATGCTAATGAAATGGACATGTTACCTGAAAGATGGCAAAGTAGTTGCAAATAATGAATACTACATTTCCAAATAGTTAAAAACATGCCAGGCAAAAAAAAAATGAACTGTAAAAAAAAGCTCATTATTTTCTTGCCAATATAAAAAAAGGTATAGGTTTCTTTGTTGTCTTGGTATATTTCAGGGTTTTCCAGTATGATACATAGAATAAATGCACGTGCTTGTATTATTGCAGGTTATTTGAGTTTTTCGGATAAGATCTTTTGTTTTTAGCTTCCCAATTTGACTTTAAACATTTTTTTATGCGGCGTTAGAATTGCATGCGTCGTACAATATACCCTCTTAAGTTATGTTTTATGGTGAACATGTTAAGAACACAGCAGTGTACAAGATTGGAGTTTAACAAAGAATAATAAAACCGTTAAGTTTGCAAACAAATTTTTCCGGACGTCTTTTCACAATAAATTATAGGCGTTAACAGTTAGTTAGTAAAAAATCTATTTAGAGCCGCCCAGTATGGATATAACGAGACAGAAATTATACCAGAGAGGAAAGCAAAAGAACAAAAATTAGTTAAAGAGGAAAGAGAAAGTT